GGTGGACTGTACCTACGTATCTGCTGATACGTAGGTACAGTCCACCTTTGAAAATTATTAAACCTGGCATCTCAGGATGGAAACATCTAACGACTTCCTACGCCCGCCTCGCTTTTGCCACCCGTCTGATGTTGCAAACGTCCATCAGCAGCGGCGAAAACTAGGCGTTAGGGTTCGTAAGTGGTTTTACCACTAGGGTGCGATGTTCCGATGCGATGCCAAGAATTTACTTAGCTATAGACTTCTCATAAAATTGTAATAATATTAATCGCTCCTTTAATGTTTTCTAATATTTTTAAATTCATTTCGTTACAAAATTAGTCAAGAGGCCATTACAAACTTTATTTACAAAAAGCAAAATTTAATGAAATTATAAGAGTAAAAGAAAATATAAATACATGATTATGTACTATATTACTATAGCCTCGCTATCGTATCATAACAAGTGCAAGCGAGACCTATCCGCTAACTCTACGTCAAAAAGGGAAGGAAGACTAGAATTTCTGTCCCTTTTTGCTAGAGCAGTGCAGTTTGGTGCATAGTTTTGCGTCACGGTCTAGATTGTGAGTGGAATGGGTAGGGGTTTGGGGTGCGTGCGGCCGAACATACTCTCCCGTTGGTCATGTTCGCCTAGTACTCCAGATAAAAGTTTTCCATATGCCTCCAATTTCTGAGTTTCTAAAACTTCAATCCAAACTTAGCTGTGAGGCTTTCCGCCCTCAATCAAGGATACACAAACTAAGATGGTCTTAAAAAAAACAAAAAAATAACCGTCGCGGGACGCCTGGCAGATGACAAAAACATCTACGTTTTATTTTGTACCTACACCATAATATTAATAAAAGGATATTTAGTGTAAGAAACTAAACATGGCCTAATCAAAAATAAAAATAATCAATTTTTTAAAAGAAAAAGATAATTGTTTATTAAATAAACATTAATATTAATTTATTACAAAAATTGTAACTTTTTTAACCGAATCCAAAAAGGTTATCAATTCGGATTTTTTCTTTAGGTAGGTATGTATTGTTCGGGCATAACTCCGTCATAAATGTAGACGGATTGGCAAATTTTTTTTTATTCGAATGGGCTTTATTCCGAAAAGATTGATAATGATTTTATTCTGAAATTTAAATGGGACTACCATTTAAATTTCATTTACATCTGATGATGAGTTTCACAGATAGACAACGCAACTCTCCAAAAAATGACAGCAATTTAATCGCGATTGCTGCTATTGCATAAATATGCAGTTTTGCGCACAACACACAACATCACATCTGTACACTCGAAAAGGTTAAGCGGATGTATTGAGTCCAGCTGAAAACGCGAAAACAGCGTATTTATACAATTAATACGCTGTTTTCGCGTTCTGTGTGCATTATAAGCGTCTACTTGTCTACAGGGGGATAAATTCAAACTGTAACTCTGCAAACATCGCCAAAATCTCGTATCAACTGTATTGCTCGACATGCGCAAAGCAATACAAGGCCTCTCATTTGAAATTTAGAGATTTTCTTTCTTATTTTCTTTTAATCGTTTTTCAGTCCCAGTTTAAGTTTGACTCCGTTTTCTCATACGAGCAGCGTCTTTGCTAGGTCTACCGACATTTTATAACTAGCTTGTCACCCGCGGCTCCGCCCCTGTGTGCCTTCCTCAATAATTAGGCTATCTAACAGATAGAAGAAGGCTAAGCTCTAACAGAAAGCAATGAGAAAGGAAAAAAGTGCAAGAATGTTTCAAATCGGACGTAGTCCCCGAGAGTATTAGTATAGATATCCTCTTATTTACAACCGATTCAAAAAAGTGTTCTCGATTCGACTGTATTTTTTTTATGTTGTAGGTTACCTCAGAACTTTCGACTGAGTTAACCGACTTTGATGATTCTGTTTTCATTTGAAAGCTGGTGCTTCTCATATCATTATTTTTTTATGTAAAAATTGCCAAGCTAGCAGGCGGTTCACCTAATGTTAAGTGAATACCGTCGCCCGTGGACATATGCTACACCCGAGGGCTGCAGATGCGTTGAACACCTTTTAAAAATTACGCTCCGGCTACCTCACTCACCAGACGGAACGCTAAAGTATTATACTTACATTTTACGCCGGACTTCTGTGAGGTCGGATTGGATCTTGGGCTCTGGAGATACTTAGGGAACTTCTATAAATCAATTATAAAATGAATACAGAGCAAGATATTTGAAGTCGGTTTTGTATTTCGTTAAAAAAATGGACTTATTGTCCGTCCAATCACTATTAATAATACTTTCTAGTTAGTTCAGGTCGAAATCGGCCCGCCGCTTTCCCTGATTGGGGAATCTAATTTTCCTTGGCCCTTTTCCTCTTTAGCAGATCCATAGGTGAATCGAACCGAAGGAAGTTGTATTCAAGGTCATTCTAACGGTACAAAAATTGTATACATCATGTTTTCGCAATGAAATAGCATTTTAATCTACCCTGTGCTGTTGGGTCGACAAAGACCCGCCACGCATTGGCGGAAATATCGTTGGCGGTGCATTTCAACCCGCGCGCCGCCGCACCTGATGATGATGCTTTATGATTTTATGTGCCACAGCCAAGATGTATTTACGTATGATACATGAAAGATGCTATAGTTCTGAGGTCAACGTACATTGAAAGTGTCAAAACTTTTCACTTTTTAACTTTATATAAACTTACAATCATCATCATTTTACAGACCATAATGTATAGTTAACTATAGTTTCGTCCAATTCAACTGTAGCTATTATATAGCATTTTATCGTACAAATCTTTAATGCGGTTCTTTAAGTTGATATAACTTTTTTTATCAGGATTTAAATAACACAGCGGCGACAATCTTTTCGTACTTTTTCTACAAATTTTAATGTTTAATCTTAAGTGCAGAGATTAGCACTATAAAATTTTAAACTTAATTTAGATATTTAATGTTTAATCACTACATAGTTGGGAACAAAGTCGTCCCGCTGTACGTCTGTCCCTGTGTATGCTTAGATCTTTAAAACTGGGCAACGGATTTTGATGCGGTTTTTTTTTAATAAATAAAATAATTCAAGAGGAAGGTTTGCATCCATTGCACCCGTGCGAAGCGTAGGTCGTTGTCTAGATTGGTGTGAAATGGGTGAAGTGTACGGGGCAACTATTAAATGTCTGGCAACCTGCTGGCTGGCTCGTTATGACAGCCTGATATGATGTGCGTGATATGCGAAAAGTTTTCAATGGATACAGCAGTTGCAGAAAAGTTTTTATCCTTGGAACGACGAATTTAAATAATATATCCCTACTCTAGGCGTTTAGATTATAATATTTTACTTGTCTAGAGTGAGCAATGCTAAAAAGAACGAGCTAAAGCATATATAATTAGCGCAATTTATTATACGAAATGGCAACATTTATCCTAAAACTAGCTGCCTGGACAGATTTCGTTTTTTTTATAGTATTAAAACCTTTCTTGGACTTAAGGGAACATACAAAAAAATAAATTAGCCGAATTGGTCCAGCCCTTCTTGAGTACATAACTCAACAGCTTTAATTTATTAAGATTAAGAAGAAATTTTATCAGCTAATTTCCATGTATGTTATTAATTATAATAATTTTTGATTGTTTGTTGTGTACTCATTAAGAAGGATAAGATATTCTCTATTACTCATCATATATACAGTTACATAAAAGTAACATATTCTTTATTGTTTTTGCTTAATGGAAGGAATAGCAAACTCTAGATCTACAGTAGAATCCGTTTATTATGACTCCGCCTATATTGACCAACCGTTTAATATGACGTAATTACACTACGAAGTTTGGTTTTCATACAAAATTCTTTATAAATAAGTCGGATATAATGACTTCTCTTAGAGTGACATGTCGCTTATTATGACCCATTTTTAATAAATTATGTCCGGTTATAATGACCGACATGGTTTTTTACACCTTCAGTAATGTTCGTTAATTCCTGACGACGTTCGGCACGTGGCTCGTTTTTGTTTTGAATCTTAGTGAGTAATTGACACTTAAAGGTCACGCATTGTTTTTCGTTTGTCGTTTGTGTTTTTCATTGTACTGTATACACTGTGAAAAATATATATGTACTGTGAAAAAAATATCATCTAAACGCCGTAAAGCATTTACGATTGTGGCGAAAGGTGCAATAATATGCAGATTAGAAAATGGAAAATCAAACTGATCTCTCGCTGCAGAACTATTATCTCGATTTGTTCATAGCAATATTGAAAATGATAATGTGACCATGGAGATGTCTTCTATACGCAATAGTATTAGGGAGTTTTTTTACTATAAAATGAAAAATAAAAGCAGTCAAAAATTACACATTACCTAAATTAAAAAATATGTATGTACCGCATTACGTGCAATTGTTATTTTGATTTAATATGTATGTACACATACTACGTTTCTCTATTAAAATACTTAAGTACTTATTAACATAAAGAAGGTTTTTTTTACAAAACGGTTTGTATGACGTCCGCTTATTATGGCGTGTTTTTCAATTCCTTTCGATGTCATAATAAACGGATTCTACTGTACATGAAATTTAAATGAACAGAAAAGGATTTTGCAAATCCGTCTACATAATGATGACGGAGTTATGCCCGAACATGCATAAAAAAACATCCGAATTGATAGCCTCCTCCTAATATAAGAACAATATTAAGAACTTGCGACAATCTAAAATTTTACTTTGTGAATGAAGCTACAAGTAGCTACTTGTACAAAGGTCGAAATCAATGGCTCCAATTCATTATTTTTATTTCCTTCTTTATTACTTTAATGTTTATTTCATATCAGAACATTTACATTTTCTTTAATATAAGTTACCTTTTTAGCGTAAGAAGTTAATAATATTAGTAAACCAAAGATTGTTTCGCCGAGACGGCATCGACTTTATTTTAATCTAGTTGCACTCAATGTACTCGAGACCGGATACAAAATTATCTGGACACGGCGAGAGCAATGTTCTCAGGACACGATCAAGCAAGAGTTCAGAGGACATCGTCGGGCATGCCAATTTGTGCTTGATACGGGTAGGGGGCGTGTTGAACTGTCGGGTCGGCGAGCTCGGCCGCGTAGTAGACCGTCTCGCCGTCCCTCACCGGCTGCAGGCTCGCCAGGTTGAGGAAGTCGATCCGGCCCGGCCGCGTCACCGCCTGCGCGTACCTCTCCACGTCGAAGGGCGCCTCCGCCGCGTGCGAGCGCATGTGGAAGTTCAGATGGCTGCTCTGCTTGAACCGCCTGCCGCACACGCTGCACTCGAACGGTTGGATGTTCGTGTGGGTGCGCATGTGCTGCCGCAGGTGGACCGACTGCGAGAAGCACTTGCCGCAGATCACGCACTTGAACGGCTTCACCTTGGTGTGGGTGCGCAGGTGCTGGTCGAGGCCCGCCTTCTGCGTGAACGCCTTCGGGCAGTAGGTGCACGCGAAGGGGCGCACGCCGGTGTGCATGCGCATGTGCTGCTGCAGCCCCCCCTGTTGGGTGAAGCGTTTCGCGCAGACGGTGCACTGGTGGGGCTTGGTCTTGGCGTGGGTGGCGCGGCCGTGCTCCTCGCACGCCTCCCTGCTGGGGAAGGGTTGGCCGCAGGTGCGGCAGGGGAACGTGGGCCGGCAGGGGCTCCGCTGCGGCGCCGGCGGGCCCCCGTACGGCTCGCGGTCGAGCCGCCTCTCGCACACCTGGCAGCGCAGCGCCGCCTTGCGCCTCTTCGTGTGCTCCTCGCGGTAGTGCAGCGAGTACTCGCAGCAGTTGAAGAATATCTGCCGGCACTGCAGTTCCGGCCGCAGCGTGGATGGCAGCGTGCACGTGAACGGGCCCCTGTCGATCGGTCGCCGTTGAGTGTGCGTACGCAGCCCTCACTCCCTTTGGTGGATCAGTTTTATGCGTACTGTCAGTCGTGAGGAATACGCGACGCTTCATGAGGAAGGCTAGCCTACGCTTATAAAAATACCAGGAGTAAGGACGCGCTTATGTGTGTGCTCGCTTTGTCGGAGCTGGCGGCTGGGGGGCCGTCGGGGTACTTCAACATTGCTAGAGCACGCGAAGGCCAAAAGGAAGGCAAAAATAAACATTAACATACTAGCTGCTGCCCGCGACTACGTCTGCGTAGAGAGGTGAAAATTAAGGGTTGTATTTTTATATGCTGTATCATAAAGAAAAATTAGGGGTGGACCACCCTTAACATTTAGGGGGATGAAAAATAGATGTTGTCCAATCGGACAGCATCTATTTTTTGGAGATTCCTCCACCCTGTCCGATATGCACACTAAATTTCACGAAAATCGGTCGAGCCGTTTCGGAGGAGTTCAATTACAAACACCGTGACACGAAAATTCTATATATTAGATTGTTACGATTACGGGGTTGACGTCTTGAATCTCAACATTCCGTCTTGACAGTTTAGAATGACAATGTTTTTTTACTTTAATTTACTTTATTATTATTTATATTTTTTTATATTAATTTATTATTATTACTTTAAATTACTCGTGTAGAGTGAAACTGATGGTTCGTATTCCGGAACTTTCTATTAAAGAGACGATCGAAATTCGAGCCCTGATTCCAGAGGATTATATTAAAACGACGGATGAAATGAGAATCGTTTCTAGAATATTTTAGCCGCAAAGAAACTCCGATTATAAAAGGGGCCTAGATTCGTCCGTGCACGAGATTCGTCGCACCTGTACTAGTGAGTGAGGACTTGGAGCGGTAACAAGCGAGCTGCGGCGTACGTTTTCAGGGTTCCGCACCCAAAGGGTGAAAGGGGACCCTATAACTAAGACTTCGATGTCTGTCTATCACCAGGCTGTATCTCATGCACCGTGATAGTTAGACAGTTGAAATTTTCACAGATGATGTAACAAATAAATACTAAAAAACAGGATAAAAATATCTAAGTGGGGCGCGTCCGACTCGCACTTGGCCTTTGCTTTCTACATGGCTTTTTATTATAAAGTGAACATTTAAACGACCGACACTTCATCCCAATCCCGAATCCCTAGCTCGTAACGATATAAGCCTCTCTATGCTGAATTGTTAATACAGTTCATATCTAAATAACGTAAATAACCCATCGCCATGAGGCTCATGGAATGTGCCTATGTAATAATAAATAAGTGGGAAGAGATTTTAATTTCTCCATAAACAACGCGTGCACTGTTGCATCAGTACGTACTAGGCCAAATTTCAATTATTGTAAATCCCAAAAACCTGATTTTTTATTTTTTATTCCGGTATTATAACTCCAACTTGAGGGCCAATAATTGACAGTGTAGAATTTGGAAAGCGAATCTCAACCGTATTCGGCGGACTGCGGCTCTTGCAGCCTATAAGACCAGGTCCACCTAGTTTAGCGTGCGTACGTTAATTACGTGTATGTGTGCCTGTTCAGATCCGGTACACTTTCATCCGCTGTTTCACATTCATGAGCAGTGCGACATGACAGATATTTTTTTACCCTTACCGGTAGGTGCGGTGTATCTTAGCATGGCGAGGAACCAAATGGATGACGACGACGCCATGATTAGTTCGTGATACGACCTCTTTAAGTCAAATCGTTCAAAAGTTACACGATTAGAAGTGGCATTTGGCAACGGCTTTCGTACCAATAACTAATGCCCTTAGTCGCCTACGCCGCTCCGATAGATATGAAAGATATTTACGACAAATCAATTACGAAGCCTAAAATACCTCAAATCGACCGGCTGTTTCCCCTGCTTAATTTGATTCCGACGAAGTATTCCCGCAAGGCGGGATCTCTTTATTGCGTTCGGGTCCAAATCGTCACCCTCAACCTTCACAATTAGGTAGCTTGTGTCTTCGTGGAATACGCACTTCACCAGACCATCGATCTGAACAGAGGTGTTCGTGGTCTCCCCTTTGCGTGGTATAAATTTAAAACCGCATAAGCCTTCGACAATCTGTCAAAAATTACAATACTATGAAAAACGTTCCCATATCATTTACTAAGTATAGTAACTGCCTATAAATGTCCCACAGCTGGGCAAAGGCCTCCTCACAGAAGGTATCAGGGCATAGTCCACCACGCGGCCGCAATGCGGATTGGCGGACTTCGCATATCTAAGAAACATTATTCGAAATATTTCATTTATTTATATAATTTATTGAATAAATTCTTTTTATGGATTTAAAGCATTTAATTTAGTCTTACAGGCTCTGTCCGTTCACCACACCAGCACGAATACACGGCAGGATAACATTCATTTCGAAATGTACGAATATGAGTGGCAATTTCAAAAATTTTAAAATCATCATCATCATCACAATTTCAGCCTGTTTGAGTCCACTGCTGAACATAGGCTGAAGTCGCGATGGGCCGGCCATATAGCTCGTAGAACCGATAACCGTTGGGGAAGAAAGGTTCTCGAGTGGTAGCCTCGTACTGGCCATTGCGGTGTAGGACGACCCCCAGTAGATGGAGTGACGACCTGTGCAAATGTGCGGGAACTCGATGGATGCAGGTGGCTCAGGATCGTACTTAATGGTAGTCTGTGGGGGAGGCCTATTTTCATTAAAGATATTTGTACATATGTATAGTATCCTGGTACTTACGAACGTGGTAACTTACGAACGTATTAATTTTTATGTAAAATTTTGACATTTCATAAGAACGCGCAAGCGTCTATGTGAATAAATATATTTTTGATTTTGAACCTGGTTATTTCCCTGAACAGTGGCCAAGTTTTGGTCAGCTTCGCTGCTGGAGCCATCAGCGTCGTGTTGCAAATTCCTGTGATTCTGCAGCGCGTTTGCGTTGTAGAACGTCTTCTTGCACAGACGACAGATGTAAGTTTCGGACGACTCCTCTCTCCACGATAATGGTCTTGACAGAGCCAACTATAAAATATTATGTGTTTTTATTTATTTATATTGATTTACTAGTTGATAATACTTTTAGCATTTAATCCCACTTTGTATAAATATTTATATTTGGAACGAAGTAGCTTAACGCGGTAGCGTAACGAGGTTTGATTTGGTATAGAACATAGGTATATAAACTTACATAATCACGTTTACGGTGGTAGGTCCACGCAGCAGCCTCGGCTGTTGCACGAATGGGCAGGCCCGTCCGGGTAAGTACCACGACCTCACAGAAGACTAGCGTAAAGTGGAAGTATGACAAATACTTTCGCGTTTCGTCTGGTGAGTGAGGTAGCCGGAGCCCAATTTTCAAAAGGTTGTCAACATATCTGTAACCCTCGGGTGCAGCAGATGTCCATGGGTGGCGGTATTCACTTACCATCAGGTGAACCGTCTGCTCGTTTGACAACTTTTCAGATAAAAAAAAAATCACGTAGGAAAAATATGTAATGTATAGTATACCACTCCACTAGTATATTAGCTACTCGCTCAGTCTCTTTCTAACGCTCCCTGGCTGACTGAAGGGTTTAGGGTTTCATATTCAAAGGGTAAAACGGGACCTCATTAGTAAGACTTCGCTGTCTGTCTGTCTGTCTATCACCAGGCTGTATGTACCTATCTCATGAAACGCGATAGTTAGACAATTGAAATTTTCACAGATAATGTATTTGTTTCCGAAACAACAGATACTAAAAAACAGGATTAAAAAAGATATTAAGTGGGGCTCCCACACATGATATGATTTTTTGCCGATTTTATAGTTGTATGGCACGAAACCATTCGTGCGCGAGTCGGACTCGCACGGCCGGTTTTTTTATTACACTATATTATATATCCACTAATTACTATTCTTGCATTTATTATTTTGAAATTTTTATTTCAAAAGCTGTTAATTTATTACATTAAACATACCAAGATATAATTCCATACATGTTATAGGTATGTAGCTGGGTTTAGTCGTTGCTTAACTTATTCGCGGCAAAAAATTTATGTAAACCAAAAAGCTTGCATTGCGTTTGACGATTTTAAGTCGTACATTTACTACTCAAGACAATAAAATTGTTTAAACTTTATGTTGACAAACAAATTATCATAGATCGTAATCCATTTTTAAACATATTAAAAATAATAGTTTGTTCCTCTGATTTACGTGAATATTACAAGTTTTATGGAAATGTAAATTAGATTAATTATTATAATTAGTCCAGCCTGTGACCATTAATGCTGTAAATTATTAATAGGAATTTTATAAGTTAAAAATATAATAAAAAGGCTCATCACCTGGATGGAGTTGGTAGTATACGTGAATTCAAAATGAGATGTTACTGGTTTTTCGATGTGAGTAGTTTCCATCTCTTCTATAATCATTACGTTATAATACGTTTATTATGTTAATAGTTTCTTCACGTTAGTGCAATTAAAGATACCGCTACAGCTTGGTGCTATTTGACATTAGACAATAGTCATCACCAAAGAGAACATTATTAATATGAGTCATCAGTCTCCTCGTGAGACAGCGCCATCTCTTGATGCGAGAACGAACTACAAGTTCAGATGTTTATAACCTGTATGGAGGGTAGAAGTAAGGAGGACCGTCTCGTATGGGGGATTAGTCGAAAAAGTGTCCACTTGTAAACAGCAAATTATTGTTCGAACTCTCACCGAAATAGCGCTAGTGTAGCAAGTGGAAATGATACGAACTTAGCAGTTATAAGCAGAGTGAAGGGTGCTGGGTTGAAAAATTTAATATTTCTCTTGACTTCTGTAGTTAAGAAATGTGCAGTATTTAAAATCTCAACTATTTACGTAGTCAATTGTAATTTAGTAAATAATAACCTATGAAACTCCTGAAACGTGAAATAACGTGCATAGTGATTTGTTTTTTATTAAATTTTGTTGATACATCTTTGTTATTGTAACGACTTTATTGTTGTTAATATAAAAAGAAAAAATATAGAAGCAATGGGAAAACTTTGTTCAGTGAAAAAATTTCGCTGTAACAAAGCGGAAATGTTTCTTTCCTTTTTAAATTTAGTATCCTACTCTAATAATTTGTGGCGCTCTATTTAAAATTCTTCCACTTGCTACTATAGCGCCACCTTAATTTGCTCCCTTTCAACGGACACTTTTTAATACACTGAGATGGTCCTCCTTACTTCTACCCTCCATAATAACTTGTACTAATTAACCATTTTGTTTTTACAGTTGAGTGCTGTATTCAACTACAGTTTTCTATAGAGTGTATATAAAATTTATTTTATTTATATTTGGTAACATTTTATAGAAAACTGTAATTGGATACAAGCTTGCTAGATGTCACTTTTGGATAAAGTAAATATAATACAGAAATATGTTTTGCGGACTCTTTCGTTTTTTATAATATTCACTCGCTATTTTTTTATAATCTTTTTTATGAATGATTTCGAGTCTGGTGCCGTTTGGTAAATTATTTATGTTAAATTATTTTTGGCTATCCAAAATCAGTAAATTTCCTCCAATCGATTGAATCCATGTTTTAAATCAATCATTATCATTTTCAGGTGAGAAAAAAAAATGCAAATTTGCGTTGCAGTCTTTACCTGTAACAACAACCTGTAAAAAATTAACTTATTTAATATACTTGACCTCGAATGTTCATTGACTTGAAAAATATTTATACAAATTAAATACATTTTATTGTGACGTTATAATCATTTTCGAAATTTTTAAGAGTCAGACAATAAATAATCGGAATAAGTATCATTCAAAAAGATCCGAATGATATCATGATGGTATCATACCTATCTTTAAATTCATTGTCTTTTTCCCACTTAGCAACATATTTTTGAACATATCCGATGGCAATTTCCTCACCATTTGGGATTTTATCTTACATAGTAAATGAATTAAATATATTATGATTAGCCGTATATTCACAATACGAGTTTATGGTGGAACAATTTAAAATACTACATAGGCCAATGCTGCCAATACTATCACATTATATTTTGTTTTTTTTTTTATTAATAATTTTTGTTTAATAAAATACAAATATCTCCAAAATAAGAATCATACATACAATTTTTTTTAATTTATTTTAACTTAAAATAAAATTTTGTTTTTAATTTAATGGTACCAAGGTTAAAATCATTTTGCATTTAAAACAACGCCACCTGTCTTCGAAGGACGGAACTAAACGGAATGAGCTAGCTCCATACAAATATCAAATGTATGGACTGAAAAGACCGTGGTCATCACCAAAGATATAGAGTCATCAGTGTCCTCGTGAGACAGCGCCATCTCTTGATGCAGGACTTATACTATTATAACTAACCCATACTAATTAACCATTTTGTTTTTACAGTTGAGAGCTGTATTCAACTACAGTTTTGTAAATAGTGTATATCAAATTTATTTAATTTATATGTGATGACATTGTATATAAAACAGTATTTGGATACAAGCTTGCTAGATGTTATTTTTGGATAAAGTAAATAAAATACGAAAATATGTTTTGCGAACCTTATTTTGTTTTTTATAATATGCACTCGCTATATTTTTTATAATCTTTGTTATAAATGATTTCGAGTCTGGTGCCGTTTAGTAAATTATTTACGTTAAATTATTTTTGGCTCTCCAAAATTAGTAAATTTCGTCCAATCGATTGAATCCATGTTTTAAATCTGTCACTATCATTTACAGGTGAGGAAAAGAATGCAAATTTGCGTTGCAGTCTTAACCTGTAAATACAATATTAATGTATTGCCGTAACGTATAACAAAATAAAATGATGAATAATGAAAGATAACCGAATAAAATAAATGAATAATAACCGGCCGCAGTTCAGTGTTACCAACTGTTGAAAAAACACTCCTAAAGAAATTCACAAACCTCAATAAATGAATAAAGTCACCTTTTTTAAAATTATCTAACAAGCTAGAATAATTTTCGGAAAATTTATTTATCTGGGTAATCAAAACTGTTTTATTTTAAAATTAACTTAATTAATATATTTGATCTTGAACATTGTTCATTGACTTGAAAAACATTTATACGAATTGAATACAATTTACGACGTTTTTTTTATGTTTATTTACGATTTTTTTTATTTGACGTTGTAATCATTTTCACTATTTTTAAGAATCAGACAATAAATAATGGGTCTAAGTATCATTCAATTATAAAAGATCTGAATGAAACATACCTACCTTTAAATTGAAATGAAAAAGACAATGCTTTTTCCCACTAAGCTGCATATTTTTTTACTTGCCAATAATCATAAAAAAATATTAACGTTAAACAAAATCCATAATTAAAAAAAAATATTTTTCAAACAAACTAATTAAGTAAAAAAGAAACAAAATTTCTAACATCCTATACAACTCGCGCCACAGCGTCGCATTACAAGCCTCTCCATCTAATAGTATGTTTTGTCTCTTTTAAATTCATTCAACCCATTCATATGCTTTGTGACCTTTACAAAGGTCGGTAACGTACGGAACGTTACACTGTTTAAAATTACTTCCAGCATTTTGCTTAGTTGTTTTCTTTCAAATTAATAATTTTTGTTTAATAAAATAATTTTTTTTCTAAAATAAAAACCATACATAAAGTTTTTTTTAATAATTTATTTTACCTTAAAATAAAAATTTGTTTTTAATTTAATGGTACCATAGTTAAAATGGTTTTGCATTTAAAACAACGCCTCCTGTTTTTAACGGTTGGAACTAAACGAAATGAGCAAGCTCCATGCAAATATAAAATGCATGGACCAATGGAATTTCAGTATATATGTCTTATCTATGGCATGGACTGAAAAGACCGTGGTCATCACTCAGCACACTCACAGAGTACATTTCACGGTCTTCGAGCAAAATAGCTGATTTAATAACCTACCAATTACGTACACCAGTTGAGCAGTTATTTTATTGCTGTCAATGGAAATATTTAATTTATTCGTATTTAGTTTCTGTTCGATATAATATTTGGCTTGTTGCTGTTTAGGCATGTGCAAAAAATATCCATTTATTAAAATATTGTTATTTTACCATACAATTATCGATGTATATCATCGATATTTTTTTATCGCGATATATAAATATTTATTTTACAGTATCCATTTCATGTCAATTTCTATTTATTTTTAACGCAACTCTAGTTTCGTGTTTAATGTTACTATTACTAGAAACTCTTTGCAGGTTCATCGCGCATTGTTAACTTTAAAAAATCACGCCACAATCTTTATGAAAGGCAATATAACAGTGAAGGGGCCCATTCACTGGACCACCTACACACCGGCGGGCTGCCAGGCAGGACTGCGAAGCTGGATGTAGCTCACACACTGTCCTTCTTAGCCGTGCATGATCTGTATTAGGAGTGAGCTATATTAGGTTATCGTAACAGTTCCTGTACCACGCAGATTGTTCCTCAATACGTTGTCTCACAAGCTTTTCTTTTTTTATTAATGCTTACGACTGTTACATTAGTTGAAAAGAGACAAAAACTGTTTCACCTTGCTACAGTTGTTACTGAACACTATCAATTTAGAAAAAAAAAGGAAATAGTTATGCAATGTTTTCTTTTGTTATTAGTTAAATAAATTCGTCATAGGAAATATAGCTAGATATTGATTCAGACGACTATTGAAATTACCTGAGACTGAATGAAAAGACCTTTCAGTATTTGCTTAATTAAGTAACGCCGATTATGGTCGTGCAAAATACTTTGATGCGCAATAGTATTTCTGCCGAACAAAGTCTGTCAGGCACCCTACGGATTTTAAGCCACAGGCAGAGCTTATGAATGAACGGTCAAGACTGTCTTACAACTACTACTTTGTATTTTAAGTGCTAAGTAATTTTTCAGTATGTTTATCGAATTCGAATGGTTTTCTTGAGACTGATGTCTTCAGATGCTAGTACGAATGAGAGATTTTGTGTTTTTGTACCAAGAAGAAGCGGTGCCGATAGATGTCATAATTGGAAGTTGGAATTTACTTGAAGAAACTTTACTAAGTTTGTACTCTAAGTTTGTGTAAGCTGTAGAGTTTGTTGTAATGTCTTACGTGTATTGATTATTAATACGCTTTGAGCAGTAGCTGAAATTTGCTTTGATGTTAGTGTACACAAAAATGATCGGAGAGTTTGAATTTGCTTGATGAATTTTGATAAGGGCTTGGTGGATCTTTTTTTCATATGGCAACTATTCCGCTATGCTGAGCCCCAAACCACGGACACTCCTGTTAGTCATTATTGACAGCTTAGTGATGGACGATTTGGATTTATTTACTCGAGTTAACATGGCTATTGACTCGAGTGACTTGACTTGACTCGATGTCTCCTGCAGGGAGAGATGGGCCTCGGCCTAGGCGGGGA